CGGATATTATTTAGTTGTAGCTACGTTGAGTAAGAGGTAGATGGAAAGAAAAAAAGGTGGCAACAATAAGTAAGAGGGAGTGAAAATGTTAAACTAAGGGGAGGAAGTTCGGGGGAGATATACGCGATGTTGGCAGAAAGGTGGGTAGTGCAAAGATGAGTAGTGGGGGGTTGAAAGGGTTGGAATAGTTTTAAAAATGCAGTATTAGAATGTGGGGCAGAAGTTTGTGGTTTAGGAGGTTGGGGGGAGGTGGAAAAGGGAAAATGATTGGTGGAATGATGAAATAAAGGGTGTGATATAAAAAAAAAAAAGTTACTTATGGAGATTTTTACAAAGCAGAAGTGTTATAAGAAAAGCAGAGTATATGGACAGTAAAAGAAAGTAAAGAGAGTGGTGAGGGGGGTGAAAAGGAGAGCAGATGAAGAGTGGGAGAGGCCTGTCAAAAAATTTTAATGAAAAAAGAAAAAATTTTGGAGTGGTTAAACAAGTTAAGAAAGCCCAGGGAAAAAATGGATTTGTAGTTAAAAAAGAGTGGGGGTTAGTAGTGGGGGAGAGGGAGGGGATTTGGTAGATGGCGAGAAAAATTTTGAGGGAAATTTTAAAAAGTTGAGGAAGAAAGGGGGGCGGTAATTTAAGCACTGGGAAAGGGGGGTAACCATCTTTTAGGGGTGAAGAAAAGGCAGAAAATAAGTGTGGTGGAGGTAGTGAGGCATTACGTAGAATGAAAGGGGGTTTAAAAAAGGTGGAAAAAATGGGATCATGACGAAATGTTAAAAGCAGGGGGGGATATTGTTGGAGTGGTTTGGGACTTTTGTTTAATAAATGTATGAAGGGGGAAGGTACCCAGGGATTGGGGGAGGATGTAAGTCCCTTTATATAAAGGGAAAGGGGACAAAAAAAGATTGTAAAAAAATTTTAGAGGAAAAGTTTATTGAGTATACCAGGAAAAGTGTATGGGAGGGGTTTAATTGAAAGAATTAGAGGTAAGACAGAATGTAGGTTTTGGGGTGAGCAGGAGGTTTCAGAGTGGGTAGGGGATGTGTAGTCGTGTTTCATTGAAAATAATTTTGAAACCCTTTTATAAAAAGGTTTGGAAAGTTTTTACATTTAAAAAAACATAAATTAATAAAAAAAAAAAAACAAAAAAAAAAAAAAAAAAAAAAACAAAAAAAAAAAAAAATTTTGTGGTGGTAGGGAGAGGGAGATTTCCCGGGAAAAAATAGGTTTAGAAAATGTGTTAAGAGGGTTTTTTAATTATTTTTTAGGGGGGTGTAAAAGAAGTAAAAAGGCTTGGGTGTTCGGGAGGGGGTTGGGGGTTAAATTTTTGGGGAATAAATTCAAAATGGGGAAAAAACACGTTACTTTTTGCTGATGATACTGTGCTTATGGGAGATTCTAAAGAAAAATTCAAAGGTTTGTGGAGAGTTTGGGAAGTGTGTAAAGGTAGAAAATTGAAAGTGAACATGAAATGGGTTAAAGGGTGAGGGTATCAAAAGATTTGATAAAAAAAAAATTGGATATCAAAAATTGGGGGGGGAGGAGTATGGGAAAAAGTAAATGTTTTCAGATCTTGGGAGTTGGGTTTTCGGCGGATGGGTTTATGAAGGTTGGGTTAATCATAGGGAAATTTATGAGGGAAAAAAAAAGGGGATGGTTTGGTTTAGGGAATTTTGGAGTCAAAAAAAAGTTTTCTATGGAGGAAAAGAAGGGAATGTATGAAAGATAGTAGTACCAAACTCTTATATGGGTGTGAAGCTTGGGTGGTAAATGCAGCAGCGAGGAGACGGTTGGAGGGGAGTGGAGTGTCCTGTTTAGGGCAAAGTTGGTGTAAAAAAATCAGAAAATTCGGTGTGTGGAAATTAGGAAAAGGTGGGGAGTAAAAAAAAGTTTAGTCCCGGGGCAGAAAAGGGGTGTTTAGGTGGTTTGGTCATTTAGAGAGAATTGATCAAAATAGAATGACATGGAAAAAAATATAAAATTTTAGGGGAAGGAAAGGGGAGGTAGGGGGCGTTCGAAAGGGTTGGAAGAGGGGGTAAATGAGGTTTTTGGGCAAAGGGGCTTGGACTTCAGCAAGCGTGCGTGAGCGTGTTGATAGGAGTGAATGGGAGACGAATGGTACTTGGGACCCGACGATCTTTGGAGTGTGAGCAGGGGAAAATTTTGTGAAGGGATTCAGGGGAAACGGTTATTTTCATGTAGTTGGGCTTGAGTCCTGGAAAAGGGAAGTACAATGCCGCACTTTAAAAGGGGGGGTTTGGGATTTTGCAGTTTGGAGGGATATGTTGTGTATCTTTATATGTGTTGCTTTTAAAATGTTGGTTTGAGCACCCCTGAAAATCAGGATAATGTGTGAGTGTGGTGAAAGTGTTGAATGATGATGAAATATTTCTTTTTTGGGGGTTTTCTTTCTTTTTTGGGCACCCTGCTCGGTGGGAGTCGGCCAACTTGTTTTAAAAAAAAAAAAGTAAAATATATATATATTTATATATATAATATTTAATATTATTTATTTATATATATATATATATATATATTATATATATTTATATGTATATGTTATAATTTATAATTTATATATTATTTTTATATATTATATATTTATATATTTTTATTATATATAAAATATATATATATATATTATGTGTTGTGTGTGTGTGTTGTGTGTTGTACGTTTTACTCAAAATAATTGTGGTTGAGGGGTCGAGACTTTTTTTAGTCCTGGCCCCCTGTATTATGTATTTATAAGTCTGGCCCCAGTCTAGCAGTTGTTCTGCAGCACTGTGCTAACCATCCCATGAGTGAGCTTTTTTTCAAGGTGTTACGTGTACTAATTACACATGTAAGTCAAGGCAACATGATACTCATTCCTCAATTTATACTTAAGACTTCATGATTTTATTCGTTTTTTATATCATTAGATCTGTAAACTCAAGAAAACTTGCATATTTATTTTATAATGTATGCTCATTAAAAATTTGTTATTAAAACTTGTTACTTCATGTACATTTATAGTATATGTATTCCCCCAGCCTTAACTTGAACATACATGACATAACAGTATAGTTCTACTGTACAGTCAGTACAAGAAAAAATTTCCTGCACCCCTTTTTGCAGTTAGGGGTCATGCTGTGCCTTGTATGACTAGGGCCACCTTTCCCGAGGAGTCTCCTTTCCCAGGGTCGTCATCAAGATACTCAAAAGTGGTTGGGCGTGGACGAGGGTGGTGGGGGGTCAAGTGGGGACCAGATTGGACTCTTTTTCCTCCCTTGTTGTCGAGGAAGTCATTCAGGGCGGCCTCTGAGCCGGTGTAGCCCCTTCTGTCCTTCATTGTCTTCAGGAACCTCTCATTGTTGTGATCAGGATGATATTTATTATTGTTGTGTCTTCCCTGTTTTATTCTAGTTCATATTCACTTGTATGCGTTAATGAGTAATGCTCTTTGATCCCGTTTTTTAGGTGCCCGGTTTTTTTAACTTATGTTGTTTAGGTTAAAACACGTGCAACAGTTTTGTTCTTTTTGTAGAAAACGTTTCGCCCACACAGTTGGCTTCTTAGTCAAATACGGAAAATTTGGTGTCTCTACACCTACTGTTTCGTATTTGGCTAAAAAAAACCTATTGGAGGTGAAACGTTTCAAGAATTAAGCTACCCAATGTTGACAGTGTCTTTCATCAAATTTTCGATATTTTATACCATTTTCAACGTACTTTATTATGGTCGTTTTGGGGAGTTATGTTGGATTCTCCTTCTCAGTTGATGTTTACATGATGACTTCGGGTATGGGTGAGTTGTTTTTCCTCATTGTGTATTGTATTTTTCTTTTTTTTATAGCTGCCTGTGTTTTTACGTGTTTCTGTTATGGTTATGTTTCTAAGAGATTTTTGATATTTGTAAATTTGTTTTAATTTAAAAATTATGACGGTCCTCTATTTTTTAATGTATTGACAAATCCTTTTTATTAATAGGGGCTCCTTCTGTTTTTAGCAATTTTTCACTAAAGGTGTGCTCCTCTTTTTTTGGGAAGCTGCCTCTTCCATCTGCAAAGATTTTTCATCCATTTCTTTTTGGTCTTGATAAAGTTTGGGGATGCTTTTGCGATTCCTTTTGGGATAAAATAAAAAAAATCGACCTTTTTCTCCTTAGTTCATGGTGATTTAAGTCAAAAACCCCTTCGAGGAAAGGGAAACAATAGAAATTTAGTTGGTGGTGCATTGAGGTCTGTGGAGAGAAGAAACTTTCCCTGGATGCAAAAAGGGAAAAAAATATAAGAGTAAACCCTGTTGTATAAGTGTTAAGTATGGGTTTTGAAAGTTGCAGCAAGGAGGAAGTGGAGGCAGTGGGATGGTTTAAGGAAATGTGTTGTGTGAATATTAAGCAGGGAATTCAGGTTGGAAATTTTGGGGGTGTGTGTGTGTGTAATTAATATATTATTAGTTGGCTGAGGGGGGGGTTGTGAGTTGGTTTGGACAAAGAGAAAATAGGGACTGGGGAGGTATAAATCTGGGGTTTAAAAAGAAGGTGGATAGGGGGGTCCAATTAGATTTTGAGTGCTGGGGCTTGGTCATTCAGCGGATTGTGTGAGGTGGTTTTGATAGGAGTGGAGGGAAGTTTTTTTTAAATTTTGGGGTTGGCAAAGGGAACATTATGAAAGGGTCCGGAGGTGGGAAGTCAGTGCCTGTACTTTCGAGAGGGGTGGGGAAGTTGCAGTCTGGGGGTCCCCTTTCCCCGTATGTATCAGTTGTAGTTGTAAGACGGTATTGAATGAGTGAAGTAAAAGTGTTTTTTTTGTCATGTCATGTCACCTTCTTTGGTGGGAGGGGCTGTGGGAGTGGTAAAAAATTATGTCTTGTTTATTTTATGGGTGTTTTGGGGATCTGTTTTTAACAAAGGAGATACTCAAAATTTCTTTTTAAATTTTTTGACAAACCCCCATTGAAAAGTGTATAAAATTTTTGAGGTTTTCGAAACATTTGAAAATTATATTAGCTTTTTTAACTCAGGAAAGGTGAGTTTTAGAAGACTTAGGTTCGAAGGGTTCATACACCTATTAGGTCCTGTGGCCTGGTAGACAACGCCCCCACCCCACACTCTGAGTGTCTGTGGTTCAATCCCTGGGGGGGTGGAAAAATTTGTGATGTTTCCTTTTCCCGTTGTTTTTTTTCACCTAGCAGTAAGTAGGTATAAGTACCTGGGTGTTAGTCGGCTGGTGTGGGTCACTTCCTTGAGTTATCCTGGATGGTTAACCCTGCGAGTTAAAAATACGAACAAAACTTGTCTTATTTACCATTTCGTGGTTTGGGGGTTGTTCCTGACAAAAAAAAGCTATGAAAATTGTTTTAGTGGTACGTGTGTGAGGTTGTACAATTTAAGAAACATATTTTCCCTTTTTAAATACAGTTAAAAGTTAATATACCCAAAATTAAAAAAAGAATATTTTTTAAAATCACAGGTCACTAAACAGCTAAATTTAGTCACGTTTGGACATTAAGAAAAGACTTGTAGGTGAAAAATTAGTGAGGGACCCTTTAGGTGTTCTGCCAGAGTGATACCATTGGCCTTATACCTATGATGAAAATCTTCTTTTCCTTGTATTCTCCCGTTTTTGTACTTACGAAATTTTCGAGGGTTTTTTGTTCGACAAACTGTGGGTTTTACTCTTCTCTTTTTTCATTGGGTGAAAAAGAATATTTCCTGTTATTTGTTTTGGTTTTTAAACGATTTTTTTTATGTGTTAGAAGTGAGTTTTTTTTTTATAAGGTAAATTGCCTAATTGTCGCGTGGCTTAAACCCCAAATTTTTAGGTCATTTTTTTTTTTTATGTGGCATGTAATTATTGTTCTACACTAAAATTATAGTTCTGCTGTCGTGCGTGTGCTCATGTTGTAGTATTGTATTTTTCCACATTAAAAACTCTCTCCGTCTTGCCGTTTTATTCCCGTTTAGTCATAATTTGCATTGTCATGCCTTAAGGAAACAAAGTTGTCAAATTTTGCATGCTTCCAGAGTAATGAGGTTCCTGAAGACTTGTTGTAGTTTAACTGGATGAGTAGAGCAGTTTTATTGTTTCAAAAAGCTCGTCTGGGGGATCTCTTTTTAAAGGCAGAAAAATATTTGCTTTAAAACTGGCTGCTGAATTTTTTTTATTAATTCAAGTTGTGCTTTCTTGTAAAACTTGGCCAGTGTAAATTTCTATGCTTACGGGAAATTATTGAGTCTTCCTGTAGCTTGCTGGGATTTTTTTTTTTTTTTAAAAAAATTTCAGTGTAGTGTTTTTTTGTGGTTCAGTCAAGGTAGAAGCAGGTGCTCAGACAGAGAGTAGAAATTGTGATGATAGTATGCAAGTTGTTAGGTAGACAGGATCGACTAAGTGACATTTTATTTGTTTGCGCTTTTCCGTTACCTAAAATTCTGTTGGTACACCCTTATTATTATTGACAAGTTGACCCCTACTAAGTTTTGAATTTTGAAAAAAATCATTTTTGGGGCCTTTTTTTTTAAAGTCACTCCTCTCCGCACTTATTAGCCGTAATAACCCCAAAAACTCTGTTATGCCCTTATTAATCCCCAGTTCACTGTTACTTTTGTCGCGTGGTACCTTCATAACTCACGTACACCAGTGGTAACAGAAAAAAAAGACACCTGGGTAAGAAGGCGAAAAACGGGCCCTTCTTATCTTTATCACAGAAACCCGGGTCCCCGTGGTCCCCCGCCAAAATCAGGGTCCTTCATGGTCCCCTTTACAAAAAATAAGGTCCTCCGGGTCCTCTTCACAGAAAATGAAAGGTTTCCCTGGTACTCATTCGAAAAAAGTTTTTGGAATGTACCACCCCCAAACAAAAGGGTATGAGGGTGATGTAGGAATCTAAAAAGTGCGAGGGTTGGTTCCAAGGCTGACCGACTGGGAAATTTATCCTGCCCTTTTAAAGGGAAAACCCTTTTCCATGCAAAAGCAAAACACACACTGGAAAGCCTCATAAATCAAAATGTTAGGGACATACCAGGAGAGAGAGGGGAGGGTGAACCAGCAAGATGGCCTTTTGTTCACCGGGGGTAGTCGAAACGGGAAACAATAGAAAGGCCCCTTTGGGGCTAGGAACGTGGTTCTGAGCTTTGAATGCAAGGAAGCTGAGGAGAGGTTTGTACCCCAAAGGGGAGCAAAATAAAGAGAAAACCGGAGCAGGCCCGGTCCGAAGTGGCTCCTCGAGTTCCCCCCCCCACAACTGCAAAGTCATGTAGATTGGGGAAGGGCAATGAAGACCCCAGACGGAGTACAGTCTAGGGGCCCGAGACTCAAACCCATCAAAGGAAAAGGATTTGGGATGAGTATAACTCAGGACATCTCCGAGGCGCACATCAAAAATATAGAGCTTTGGGGGGCCTACAAAAAATAAGAACGTATTCCGACATCTTTAATAAGGAAAAGTTCAGGACCCTTACACCCTGTCGTTAGGCCCATATTGGATAACGCACCAGTGCCCACACCCAGCCAAGCACGTAAGGAAAAAAAGAAAATGCAAAAGGGTTTTCAACAAAAACTAGTCCTGACTAGGGGGTATGTCCAAAGAGGAGAGGTTAAGGGGAAAAAGACCGACGACACTGGGGACAGGAGGATAGGGGAGATTTGATAATGAATATAAAATACCCAGAGGAATCGAAAAAATGTTCTAGAGATGGGACACACAACAAGGGGGTCACAGTTTGGGGTTGAAGACTCGGATTTAATCATAGGGATGTTAGGAAAATTTTTTTTGTCAGGGGTGTTGGGGGAAATGGAATAGTTGAGAAGGATGTAGTGAAGGGGATCCATACATAGCTTTTAAAAAGAGGTATGATAAAGTCATGGGGGGGGGAAGAGTGACCTAGTAGCGGCCAGCGAAGAGGCGGGGGTCAGGAGTGTGAATGATCTTGCAAAAATAAACTAGGTGAGTGAAAACACGCACGCAAGCAGGCATGGCAAAAAGGTGAGACAAACTAATCACAATGGTTTTAGACTGTAACCACATAGATGACCCATTAATGACAGTGCCCATAGATCGTCTGGTTATTAGTGGTTCCCAATCATCCCGCAGATGTTTTTGGCTTTAAGGTTCATCTTGTATCTGGTTATATTAAAAAACTTAGCCATTTCCCCGAGAGAATGCGCCCCGACCTGGGAAAAGGGTTTCAAATACTATATTTAGTAAAAAGTAATGTGCCTCCGACGAAAAAAAAAAATTATATAGCCCAAATTTTAAAGGGTCGATTGGTAAGGACAGTGAAAGTCCAGTGGCTGATCATCTATGGACTAATGGACCACTTCAGAAAACATTTAATCTGTTTCCTGACGAATCTTACCTAACCTAATCTAACCCTCATGAGAATGCGGCGTTCACCAGTTTCAAAAGACCATGAAAACGCCCACTAGCACAAAAAAACCTAGAGATCTAGGGAAATGGCTACAAGCAAACAGAATATATAAAGCAGGACGGGAAGCCACAACAACATAAAGACAGGGTTAGCCGATACATCTAATGACAATTGTAGTATTTATAGGTGAGATGAGAGGACGTGACCACTGCCACAGCAGGCTGGTGACGCCTCTGCTGGCTCTTTGTGTACAGGTCATTAATGTAAGGGCTATCAAAGTTAGAGGGAGGATAAGTCGTCATACACCAAAAAAGAGCCTTCCCCATGGTTTCGTAACGAAAGTTACTGACCTTTGGTCAGGTCGTCAAAACATTTGGTCATGGCGTCGTCACGTGAGGTCACAGACCTGAGCTGCCTTGGGGATTAGTGTGGACGGTTACAAGCATGAGCTTGCTTCTGCAGTGTTTTAAAAAATTGAGGTTGGAGAGTTGAAGGAGGAGGTCTAGCTTCCCAGGAGGAGATTAGGAGGTGAATGGTCTCCACCTCAATGGGGTTCTGGGAGAGAGTGTGAGGTGGCTGGAGTTGTGGGGAATGAAGAATGAGGCTTCTAGCAGCGAGGTGCAGTCTGTCTCTCAGCTGTGAGAGGTGTAGTTGGGGAGGCAGGCAAGCAACGGCTACAGCAGTGAGGTGCAGCCCAGCACCTGCTACAAGTGGCGAGTAGTTCACAGTAATGGACGGGGCCATCAGTGGTAGGAAAGTGTAAGAGTGAAAATCTGAAGGTAGGAAATCGCTTCTCTGTTCTCAGGATGAATGTATTCAGTGGCCAGTGAAGGGTAAGGGTACTATGCCCCTGCTAATGGAAGGTAAGCGCATTCTTGTGGTTGGTGACTTCGGTAGATACATTGACCGTTGCTTTTTGTTATAGGAATAAGAAGATGAGAGACTAGAGTGTGCTTCCCTGGTCGTTGGTGTTGGGGGACATTGTCAAAAGGCTGGATAATATCATGTCAGGTAATGGGAGCAAGCCATTATCTGTCTCAGTGCTGGTGGAAAATGATATTGGGAAGGGTAGGGGAGAAGATGCCTAGATAAGTACAGGTCAGTTATAGATTTCATTAAGTTAAGTGAGGGGATCCAATCATATGTAGCATCATGCCTAGAAGGGGGTAGGAACTGGCTGGTTGTCTAGGGCAATTGGTTTGTAAAATGGGGTCTTAGCAGATACTGCAAGGAACTTGCAATCCCATTCATTGAACTGGAAAACTTTTATGGCAAACATGATATGTATGCCAGGGATGGGAGTACATCTCTCGGCGGGCAGGGTGTGGTATCACTCGCAGACTCGATTTGCGAAGGCCATTGGTGAAATGGCCTATGATTTTTAAAACTGATGGGAAGATTTGGGTAGCAAATTTTCATGGGTGTGTGTGGGAAACAAGCAGGTTGCAACACATGGGTTGGAAACGGATAAATGTATAAAAGGCATTCCAGCATTGAGTTCTAAATAAAGACAATAGATCAGGTCAGCAAACAAGGGTGGACAGCAGAGGGCCAGCAAGGGACTAGCTCCCTTAAGGTTTACTATACTAATAGCAGGATGATAGAAATAAGATAGATGAGCTAAGATTAATTGCAAGTGCAGGAGACTAGATATTATTG